ATAAGAGTTTTAAAAACACTTTTTTACTTGACTAATTAAATTTAAATATATCTTTAATTTTGCAATATGAGTGAAATACACTCTTAAATTCTCGTCAAATTTAGGAGTGTTTGCAACATCTTCTTAGCTTTTCTTTAATAATCACATGCTCGTATGAGAGTTTAAGACTATTTATTATGTCATGTGGTAGATCGGAGTTGTGTCTAAGTTTATTAGAATTTGACTAACTGAATTTAAATATTACCCAAATTTTGCAACATGAATGAAATACACTTCTAAATTCTCGTGAAGTTTATGAGCGCTTTCATCATTTTTCTCGATTTTTAATTAAGAGTCTCATGCTCCTATGAGAGTTTGATATCACTTATTATGTCATGTGGCAGATGGGGGACGTATCTAAGTTTAGTAAGAATTGTCTTAAAGATTGTCAGTAGTTTATAGACAATACTAATAATTTATGTTAAATTTAGAGATGTTTTAATACTTTTCTCTAAATTAAACGGTGTTCACATAAACTGAGACGGAAGGAGAAAAGTAATCAGAAAAATCCTTGGGGTAAAAAAAAAATAGTCTTTCTGACTCTCTCTTCTTTATGACTTCTTCCAATTTTGCATCATTCCATTCTCTGCAAAAAGCCAGGAATATCCATCATTCCTTCTCTGCCCCCGCTACCCCCCACCCACCCCTCTGTATATTTTTTTTCTTTTGTTAATCCCTATAATTCACTTTCCAGTCACTTCAAAAAAATATTTACAGTATTTTAATATTTTGGCTTCTTCTTTGAAAAGTTTGGAAGAAGAATTTAATGCACAAATGGCTTTTTGTATTTGTTGTATTTTATACAAGGGGTATATAAAAGTACTGTATGATTACTGCCCCTTTTAGGGAAACACTACTTTTTATATAGCTTGAAATGACAATTTTAACCTTGATTAAGGATCTATTAACTTTTTTAGGAAAATAAATAGATTAATTTTGCACATGAAAGTTTATAAATTATCCACAATTGATCGATATATTTGAGGGAGGTATCGTGATGTATGTTAATCACAAATGATGATATATTTAAGGAGAGGTATCGTGATATATGCTATTCACAAATCACAAATGATATTATATTGATCAACGAGATGCATGGTGGAGGACTGAAGGTAATGATAAGATGAACAAGACTAAAATGAAGTACTTAGAGACTAGAGTAAAAGTTTAATGTTGTAACATATGAAGTGTATATACGAGAGTGAAGATCAATATACAAGTCACAAAAGACAAAGTTTCAAGTATCTAGAATCTATACTCCAAAAAGTAAAGAGATTACTGATTATGTCGCGCATCCTATTGGATCAAAGGGGTACTATGTGATAACAATGTATCACTCTGATTTGATGTTAAGTTCTACAGAGTGATGATTAAACCTACATTGTTGTATGACACATATTTTGGGAGAGTTAAAATTAAGTAGGCCAAAGAAGATTAAGTGGAGGTAATTAGATCTAACTTGACATATTTCATCTTAACGTGAATATGACTCTAGATAAAAAATTATAAATATCAAAAATTATAATAAAAGGATAGTATGTAGCTTAGTATTGTCATATTTTTATGCAGAAAAGGCAGGGGTTAGTCTCTTCTTCTCATCTTCTAGATCTCCTTGTTTAGCAGTATTAATTAGTCTTTGCGTATGTTGCTTTTTTCATTTTTTTTACTATTACGTGCTATTCATCTTGCTATTGCCGTTTTCCTTGCGATCATGCTTTAATTATACTTCTTTTGAGTAGAGAATTTGCTTATTATAACTCCACCCTGCAAAGATAAAAATAGTATTATTAGTAATATCACATCCTAAGTAAGAAAAACAACAACAAAAAGTGTAACGAATGATATAATAGAGTATTCTAAATATACACCATTGTTTTACTCTCAATCTAAAGCTTAACGAATAATAAATATTGGACAATTTCAAATAATATAGTGGCAAATTTGAAAACAAGATGATAGGATCAAGTATGTTATAGCAAATAATATGCAATATTAAAAAAAATAATGGAAATTTATATGATTATTATTAGGAAAAATTTCAACATTGGCATTTAAAGTGCAGGAAAATAAGGATGCTTTTTTTTTTAATGGGTAGTTTGATTTTTCAAATAATTGGCACCGGCTAACAAATCCGTCTTTTGACTAATTTACCATCTTGTCCTCACTCTCTATTCGTCTTTCTACCGTTGATTTCCAATAAGAGATATTTATTGAACGGTTAGGATTTCATTGATTAGTTTCTATTTGTCCTTTGATGACTTTTTCTTTGTTTGGACTCTTTCTATTATCTTTTGCCTTTGTTTTAGGTAAAGTTGACTTTTGTCTGTCTTGAGTCTTGACTTTGTGAAAAGAAAGAAAAAGGACCATTTTTTCTTGAGTCTAATATTTCATATGTTGTAATTTATGTGATATCGTTTGATTTAATATAAAAAATAAAAAATATGAAATTTACAATTTAAAACATTTCTTGACCACTTTTATGAATATAAATTATTTTATCTAGGGATAAAGAAAATTTAAGTTATGTTATTTCGAATCATAGAAATATGATTATTCTTTTTAGCAAAACATAAATTTGGACAGAAGGAATATTTTTCCTTATAATAGCCTCGAACTTTATTTATTATTTTTCTTGGAGGGGGGGGGGGGGGGGAAATTCTATTTCCGAGTCTGTTTTCGATTCTTTTGACCTTGAATCTAGGGAGTGGGGGTTCTATGTAGTGTTTGGTATTCGCTTTGAGATTAGATTAATTTGAATTCAGATCTGAAAAGTGGAGGTGGAATGAGCGGAGATGGGGTAGGGGGTTCTACGTAGACCGTAGTATTTGATATTCGCTTTGAAGTTAAAGTAATTTAAATTCACATCTAAAAAGGGGTGGAGCCATGGTGGGAGTGGAGGGGGAGGGGGGGGGGGTTCTACGTAGTGTTTTATATTCACTTTGAAGTTAGAGTAATTTAAATTCACATTTGAAAGGGGTGGAGTCATGGAGATGGAGGGAAAGGGAGGGGGGGTGGGGGTGGGGGGGTCAATAGACCTCGATTAAAGATAGATGAATACTTATAAAAATTACTTACAATTTTACCACAAAATTTGATGGTGTATAGTCTGAGGTTGTTTTCAAATTAATTTTAATTAAATTATTCTTCATTTTGTTAGTCTAATTATGATTATGAAATTGAGGTGGGAAATAGATAATAATAACTATGCATCGCTCAGCAGATAATCTAAATCGTATATATAAAATTTGTTATGTAATACCATTCTATTTAGACTAGAGTTTAAAATGTAATTTAATATAAATGTTAATTATTTGATTATCTTAATGTTATGAACTGCATTTATAATTGATAGTCGTTAATTTATTTATTTTAAAAGACAAATTATTGATCAAATACATTAATTTATACTGATATTTTTATTTATTTAATTGAATAAACCAAATGTGTATCCAATTGAGTAAAACGTGGTGTCTTGTACATCTGATCATGTCGGTCTACTTGTCTTATTATAATACGAAATAAAGAATCATTTTTCAAAAATAAATAAATATTATAAAATATTTAAAAACAATACGAAAAATATAATAAAATACAAAAATGAATTTAAAAAAAATACTTAAAAAACACATAAAATTATACATTTAAAAAGAAAGATATTAAAATTGAACAAATAAACACAATATGTTCTACGTGATAATTTTGTGTCTTATATGATTTCCGACATATATTGTTGCATAGAATTCGGCATAAAATATCAAAAATTAAATTACCGAATCCCACAACCTTTTTACCCTTATAGTTTTCGTATTTAAATTTGGTATAAGACATCAGTATCATTTGATATTTGAAACTAAATATCATATTATTACTTAATCAATATCATATATCAACATGTTCATTACTCATTAGTATAAGTTTACGGACTAAAATATCATGCTTCTTCATAGAGAGATAGAAATAATTGAAGCAATCAGCTACAACTTCAATATGATATTACTAAATACTATATCAAATCAAAATTTACTACTAGGTGATATTGATTTTAAATTATTAATTATTAATTATTGAATATCGAATGTGCAGTAATATTGGTGTCACTAAAAATGAAACGACGAGAGTAATATGTAGGGTGGGTATATGTGATGATGAGAAAGCGAAGAGAGTCAAAGTATCAGCGCATCAGTTGCTTCTACTATTTGTATATTTGTAATCATTTCTCTTTATCAGAGTGAAAACAAAATACATATATAGACAGAGTGAAATATTTTTGACAAGGAATTTCATTTTCTCGTGATCTTTCTTTTTTTCTCTTTCTACAGGTAAAAGTAATAATTGTACCTTTTTTTGTTGCTTTAAACCTAGACATTTCCAACGGGATTGCCAAAATACCTACTCTTTTCTAACTTCAAATATCACCTTCTTGTTCGACCTCTATATAGAAAAAAAAGAACTTGGGTAAATCATTTTTAAGACACCCTTTTGGATTTTGAAGTGATTTTTGTGGAAAAAAAGGAGTCTTGGAGATACCCTTTTGGATTTTGATGAGTTTTTTTGAGGTAAAAATGGAGTCTTGAAGATACCCTTTTGGGTTTTTGAAGTTTTTTTGAGGTAAAAATGGAGTCTTGATTATTCCCTTCTGGATTTTGAAGTGGTTTTTGTGGAAAAAAAGGAGTCTTGGTGATACCCTTTTGGATTTTGAAATGATTTTTGTGGGAAAAAAGGAGTCTTGATCATACCCTTTTGGATTTTGAAGTGGTTTTTGTGGGAAAAAGGAATCTTGAAGATACCCTTTTGATATTTGAAGTGATTTTTGAGGTAAAAATAGAGTCTTGAGCATACCCTTTTTGAAGTGGTTTTTGAGGTAAAAATGGAGTCTTGATCATACCCTTTTGGATTTTGAAGTGATTTTTGAGGTAAAAAAAGGAGTTTTACAGATACCCTTTTGGAATTTGAAGTGATTTTTGTGATAAAAAAAGGAGTCTTGAAGATACCCTTTTTGATATTTGAGCTTAAAAAGAGAATGGGAAATTGTGGAAGAAATGGAGGTGTTAGACAATACATAAGATCAAAAGTTCCACGTTTGAGATGGACACCTGATCTTCATCATTGTTTTGTTCATGCTATTGAAAAACTTGGTGGCCAAGACAGTAAGTTTTTAAACTCACTAATTTTCTCTTCTTTTATCGAATGAGTTAGTGGTAAGTCCTGCTTACATTCTACATAACATTGTCGTACTTGTTTTTGACTTTTTGTTTTGGTGCTAATATATGTATAGAGGCTACTCCTAAGCTTGTTCTTCAAATGATGGATGTGAGAGGACTTACTATTTCTCATGTCAAAAGCCATCTTCAGGTTAAAGATCTTTTTTTTTTTTATATAAAGTTTGTAAAGTTCAAGACTTTATTATAAGTAACACTTGTTTACATGAAAACAGATGTATAGAAGCATGAAGAGTGATGTCAACAAGCAAGGTATATATATTAATGTTCATTGTTATACTATACTAGTAGTATATTAAATGTTCTTTCATTATGGATTAATTGACCATATCTTTTTTGTTTCCTCTATTAGACTTTCTTGATCTTTGCTTTTTTTCACATTTGTGCATATCTAACATGTAAAGCATGTTTGTGGAAATAATCTCACTTTCATTTATTGCATATCCTTTATTTCTTTCCCAATGAATGCATGGTTCTTTTCATTATCAATACATCATAACATACTCGGTATAATTTCACGAGCAACATCTTAATACATTGCAATATACATAGACTTGTGGGAATAAAAAGATTGTTTCTGATAGACTCAGGATAATTCCACAAGTGATGTATTGAGATGTTGACTTGTGATAGTAAAAAGATTGTTTCTGATAGACTCTAATCGTTAACATTTTTTGTTGTGTTTGACAAATAGCAGAGAGAATGAGTATTCAACCAAGAAAACAAGAGTCTTTAGAGGATCTTGGTTGTCATTATCAACAACAAGAAGAACAAGAAGATGAAGGGTGTGTTGAACAACAAAAGCTTTTGGTTTACCAATATCCATTATCTTTTAGCAGCAGCCCCAATATGGAGAGAACAGATTCTACACCATACTTTAACAGTGTTCAACCAACAAAAAGGTGATTTTGTACTCTTTGTTGGCCTCAGTTTCCCATGTTATAAAGTGGTTTTTTGCTAAGAAACAAAAAAGGATTTTGCATTTATGAATTTTGATATGGCATTATTCTCTTTCCTTTTAAACTTTTTCAGACTCTTATATTGATAATCTAAAAGAAATTTTAGTCGGCGGGGTAAGAATAATAATCTCTAATTATTTTTGAAGTTATTTTTTTCAGTGTTTGGTAATTGATATTATTTAGTCTCAAATTATTTTTATTAATATAAATAGTAATATAGTTTATCTCATATATTCCACGAGATAACATAATCTCATACAATATTCTTGTCTATATCATACCACCAACCAACTGACCCGTTAAAATATAACTATAGTTATATTGCTCAGACCCTTCGTAAATGTGGTTGCACCCATATTAAACCCTCCAAAAATATTGTCTCACCCATAATGAATCCTAAAAAATACATACTCCTATCCTTTAAAAATATCTGATACACATCCGATAATATTTTTAATACTCTACACATAAAATGCATTCGCACGTCAAATAACATTGACCATGAAAAAAGTCTTTAGTTCTACATACATTGTCAATCATGTTTCTCGAACTCTCCAAAAAAGATTACCATACTCATATCATATCCTTTAGAAATATAACACACATCAATTATATTTTTAAAGAATTCGAGCAACAAAGAGTTATAGATAACAAGTGACATTAGTAACTTGAAAAATAACAACTTTTTGTTTGATGAATTTATTTTTTACAGGGCTAGAATAGAGAGGTGCAGCAGCCAGAGAATACGTGAAGCAGTGAGCAATGAGTACAACAGTAGAAATGATTATAATATCCATAGTATTATGGCAGATGAGAAAATTGAAGCAGCACAACCATTGTGCAATAGTACTACTCATATCTTTAATCCTCTTACAACAAGCAATGAACTTCAAGAATCTCAATTTTTCAAGGTACATATCCCAATATACTTTTTTATTTGTTTGTTCAAATTAAACTGCTAGTTATAAGTCTTGGTATTAGGAGTAGTAGTAGAAATAGTAGGGGTAGTTTCCTTTGTGCAGCTTTTTTTACTATAACATAAGGTTGAGTGTACTATTTGTGTTATTAGAGGTGGAGTCGAGATTTTTTTAGTTTATAGATTTTGAATTCAGGTACATAATAAAGAGGACTTTTAAATATAAATATAGAATTTGATCAACATTTTAACATATAACATATCTTATTGCACGAAGAATATGCTTACGTATGATTCTTTTTGTTTAGTTTTTAAATATTCAGAATTTTAATCTCATAATATTTTCTTTGTTTCAATTTATGTGAAACTGCTAGACTTAGCCCAAAGTGTAAGAAAAAAAGATTTTTTTTTTGAAATTTATAGTATAAGATGTTATTTGACAAATTTGTGTGATTATAAATCATTCTATTAGCGATAATAGAGAAATCTTTACTCAATATATAGGAATGTAACATACGATTTGAAACAGACTAAAAATGAATTTGGATGGAGAGAGTATTGAGTTTATATAATCTAGTTTAGTTTTGATAGTTAGTCAAATTATAAACTCTAAAAAAAAGCTTAGAAGTGTCACATAAATTGAGACGAAAATAAAAAGGAATACTATTTAATTTTGGTCTACTTTGAAGTTCCAACTCTAGTCATACATCATACTTCAAATTTTTTTTCTTCTTTTTGTCTAACTTTGCCAGTAAATTCTTTGCTTGAATCTTCAACATGGTGTCTACAACTGGCAAAGCCTATTAAGTCTTCATTCTATAGGGTATTAGGTACACTAGTAAGTAGTTGACAGATAAAGTTAATGTTGCTTTCTCTTCTCTTGTTTTTTCCTACTTTTTTCTAATAATTTTTTTTTTAAATTGTTTTTTTTTTCCTTAAGAAGAAAATAAATTAAGTATGGTTAGATACATTGCCTCCCCCCCCCCCCCCCCACCAAAAAAAAATTTAAAAATTGGAAACTAATACTAACAAGTTTCAACATAATAATAAGTACAAAAAAGTGGAATTAGCCACGAACTTCGTCGCTGAAGTGCTGATAGTTGACATAATTTGTTGCTAATCCTTTGATAAATAGGATTATCGACGAATTTTTGCTGTCTAGCTACTAAAATTTTGTAGTGCTAATTCTTGTTTCATGGGAGTTGCATGCCTCATTTTATAGGTCTATTATCTCGTTTATTATGTATATTTACCAATAGTTATAACTTTTAAGTGATCTGGTCGTTCAAATATATCTACGTCGATATTAGATATAAAATTTCAAATATATATATTATTTGTTGGATGGGTTGTTGAGAGTATTTATTGTGCATTGGTCATGTTTTGACATGAATAAACATGTTGATAGGGAAATGGAATTTCCATGCTTGGCAATTATATTCCAACATTAATTAGTCTTTCTATACTACCTAAGTTTTTGTATTTTCTTCATACAGTAACCTCAGCATTTGACAAATTTTTTTATGGTTGTTAACATATAGTACATTTAGAAAACCATGCAAATGTGGAAGGGAAATTGAAGAATATTTCAAAATCTCTTTGAGATCTTATATTATAACAAAAAAATCCAAGTGGTATTTAATACATATAGTATGGTACAACAAATATGAAAGCAGCAGTGCATTTATTTTGGTGGACCATAATTATTTAATAAGTAATGAGTAGTCTTTTTGGTACATTTTTTTTCACAAAATGAGCAGTGCATTAAGATATTTGAAAATTTTCTTCATATAACATTAAATAAAAATAGACCTTTTGGCTTTTGGACTTATTAGAAGATAATTCACATTCAACAACATTTGTTGTGGCATTACCAAGAAAAATAATCTCTAATTTTAGCCAAGTTAGAGTTAAAGGTCAAAATTATTAGCTATGTTGTTTAAACTTTTTAGAATAAATCATTAGGTACATATCTGATCCTTCGAAAGTTATGTACTTGACATCATAAGTTATATTGCTCTTTATGGTTGGACTATATATCTTATCATTACAAAATATGTTAGTTTACAATTAAGTTAAACCTTTATAAACGAACAATGTTTAGATAATCAATGATCTACTTAGTTTAACATGTTAAACTATACTGATAGTATGTACATCAATTTTTTTGTTGCTTAGGTATTGAAGACACAAGATTCAAGTAGGGATTCATCAAAGAGATTCAAATTTGAGGGCTCGATGAAGATAGATAATATTCGAGAAGAAGAAGAGGAGGATGAACGTGGATTATCGTTGTCTCTCTCATTGCATCGTCCTACGACTCAGAGAAGCAATGCATCGTCCATAATAAGTGAGATTAGTGAAACAATTTCTTCATACTCAGGAGGCTTAAACTTGAATGTTTGGCATTCTTCATCTGAAAAACAAAATGTTAATCTTAATCTATCTATTGCATTATGAAACTTAATTACAAGAAAATTAAATTCCCCCTTAGGTGAAATTTTGAGATTTTATTTAGTCTTTATATATATTAAGGGGTGAATTTTTACTTTTTTAACTGTAGTGTTTCTCTCTCTCTCTCTCTCTATCTTTTTTTTTTTTTTTGGTTATTATTTTTTGTCTTTTTGTTCATGTTGATATTAGAGAAACACTTCAGTAAGTTGAGTGTATTGTAACTTTTATGTAATTTTTATATTTTATGTCTTTTTGAGTAATCTAGGGTTTCATATTTGTCTTACTATTATTTTGTTTTGTTTGTAACATTAAAGATGGTGTTGTATTGCACTTTTGTCTTTTTTTATGACTAAAATGAATAATACTAAAGTCATATTAATGTACAATTTTGTCAATCATGAACTGGAAAATAATTTCTTTTTTACATATTTGTTGAATTGGTATAAAAAGTAAGATTTAAGACGATAACAATAACATGTTCAACGTAATTTTATTGATATAGTTTGAAAAAGGTAGAATGTAAGTATACTTTTCTTTTGTAGGGTAGAGAGGTTAAGAAAAAAATAATAAGAAAAAAGGAAAAATAATCTTGTGCTATCTTGCTGTGTATCATTTAGAATCGTTATAAATATAATTAATACTCCCTCCGTCCCTTTTTAGTTGTCCACTTTAGAAATGGCACACAGATTAAGGCAACAATGATTAGCACAGTGAAGTTACAATTTTACCCTTATGACAACTTTTCACTTCAAAATTACAATAACTTATTTGAATTAAAGTGAAATAAATTGGAGGGAAACAATATACACTTTTACAATTTTCAAGAAGTGTAAATAAGGGTATAATAGGAAAAAATTTGTTGTCCTTTCTTGATTTGTCAAAATGGACAACTAAATAGGGACAACTAAAAAAGGAAATATGGACAAGTAAATAGGGACGGAGGGAGTAAATTTTAAATCTTGAATTGGCTTCTATCAAGAATTGTTATAAATGTAATTCATAAATTTTAAATCTTGAATCGTTGTTTATCATGCTGATATCAAATGAGTAACTTGGTCATTTATGTTTAGCTTTTCTAAATCTTGAATCGGCGTCTATCATGCAGATGTGGGTGTTCATGGTTTGGATAAAAACTGATCCAAACCGAAAAACCAAACCAAACCAAACCGATTAAATGAACCGATTTAATTTGGGTTTTGATTTGGTTTGGTTTTAGATTGTTAAGAATCGATAGTCATTGGTTTGGTTATGGTTTTGTTCGAAAAAAATCGAAAAATAATTGAACCGAACCAACAAGTTATATACATAAATTTTATTACTATACATACATAATATATTATATTCATAAACAATTTTAAAGATTTTATAGATGTTTCATCAAAATTTATTTATAATTTACTTATGAAAGAAAAAATGTCCAACGTGAGAACATTTTTCTTATTGGTTTCATGTATATAAATGTCTATGGAAATTCATTGTGGGACTGAAAATGTCATTGTCTCTTCCTTCTATGCCAAAATAGTGAATTTTGAAGTTTTATTCAGTAAATTTAATTATCCAAAGTTCTGTAATGCCAGTCATTCTAACTATTTTTTCGTTTGAATGGATTGTTGTCACTTTTTTCACGTTTTGAATGAATTGATTCTTTTATTTTTATGTATGGTTAATAACCGAATAACCGAACCAAACCAAACCAAAATCGAAAACAACTAAACCGATAAATGTATATTATATTTGGTTTGGTTTGGTTTTAATAATTTTAAAACCGATTAAGTTGATTTGATTTTGATTTTGATCAATAATCAACCCAAACCAACTCGTGAACACCCGTACATGCAGATATCAAATGAGTAACTTGATGTCTTGATCATTTATGTTTAGCTTTCCTAAAATTCAACTTATCATATGTTTTCTCTATTTTATCACGACAAAAAAATAATGACTGGTATAATTATTTTCTGCAAAATATATAATGCAAAAATATAGTGGCAGATACAAAAGAGAAATTTGTAAGTAACAACAACTTATAGATTAACTTACTTAGAAATATTAATACCCATATTATAGAATTTCCCAACAATAAATTATTGATACCATCCTCTCGAAAATTTATGAATATATATTGTTTGACCAACTAGTTTATTAATATGCTCAAAATATATACAATATATATACTATCAAAGTATATAGTGCATATAAGTATATGTATATTTAGTATAATCATACATTTTGTACATATTTTGTAAATCAATTGACTGAAGTGTTTAATTGAAGCCATAATTATTCCATTAAATTAAGAATAGAATGTAATAGGGCCCATGATTTTTGACTCTTGATCCAAGTGAGACACCAAATTAGGTAAGATAGTGATTGAATTTAGCAACATACATGAATTATAATTAATTATACATACTCTTTAATTTGGTGTTCATGTACATTTGGAAAAGTACTTACAATTTTGTCAAACCTTGACATGCAATATTCCTCAGAAATAAGGTAAGCATTACGTCCACCCTAGCTTTTAATCATATGGTATGCTATGAATAATATATAGTAGTGACCGTGGGTTATTTTGGTGTTCTAAAAAAAATACTAATTTTAATCGGACGATCCAAAAGTTACCAATTTTATAGGTTGACTTTTTTGCTTCGATTTTTGTATTATATGTTGTTGCTACTGTTTTTTTTATTCATAATTTTCAATATGGCTTCTTTATTATTACTATATTTCCTTTTTAATACCCGATTTTGTTTGTTTTATTTGAGCTGAAGGTTTATCACAAACAATCGCTCAATCTTCACGCGAAATGGATAAGATTGAGTACAAACTATCCTTCCAAAATTCCACTGAATATATGATAGTGTTGATATTTTCAATATGATTTTTTGCCAAAAGATAATCTTTCTTGTATTTCTAGTTTTTTTTTATATGTATATAATAACAAAACTTAGAGGTGATATAAAGAAATATATTAAACATGGAAATGTGATGAAAAATAAGTAAAGACTTTTAGTAAACTTGAAATTGTGAATATGAGTCTTGTTTCGTGGAGTTATAATAACCATCAATATCTCATTTATCTAGTTGTAGTAAAGGTTGATATCTTGTAAATATATTTTTTATATAGATATGGTGGTTATACATTTTTAAAAAATATTTTTAAATATTTATTTAATCATGAATTTTGATCTTCAAATAATTTCAGTCGCATAACTTTTAAAAAAATCATGTAACATACATGTTCAAACACAATTTCAATCTTCAAAAAAACGATTACAAAAATTCAATATTTGCATTTTAAGTTTCAACTTCAAAAGTCATGTTCAAACGAGAGTTAAAGTTACCTGAGATTTTTTGAGATAAAAACTGTCACCTAAACTCTTCTAGAAGTGTGACAGAGCGAACGTTATCACTTAGGAAATTCAATATATAAGAAAAAAATACAAGAAGAAGCCGAGAGATGTAGTAATTATTATTGTATACATAAATAACAATTTTCATATAATATTATAATTCTTCGATGAAAGAAATTATGAATGAATTCATTACAGCTCTTGTCTAGTTAATTTAATTAATATGTGCACAAAATGAGCCACTAATGAAGAGCTAACACTTTGACAAAACTAGATATGCAACATTGTGATAAAACACTCGTGCACAAAATAGGTCAATTATGGATGTTTGATGTGACATTTAATTTCTTATATTATGCTAATTTGAAGTAATAATCCAAAATTGGATCCCAACAAGTACTATTTTCTTCTTGTTTTAAACTTGGGAAGGGTAGGAACAAAGGAAAAAAATAATAATTTTCTATTGCCTTGCATTGAAAACCTTTTAACTTTTTTCTTTTAGTAGGTTTCCAAATAAAAATATATGGGTGTTGTTTTTGGTATGAAATATTTTTCAGAATATATATTCAAATTTTTCATGTAATTTGGTTGATCCACTGTTGAAAAATATTTTCTTTAGGAAAACAAGTTGCTTACCATGATTGAAATGATATTTTAAGTTCATTGTTTCCTTTTTACCCACCGGATGCCCCAACCCCCCACCACTTGACTATATTCCACCCCCAAAACCATGAACCCCTACTCCCTGCCCGCTTTATCTGATCTTACAGTATTTTTCTAGATAACATATAATTGTTTGTGTGAAGTAATATTTTTTTTGGTTACTTATCAAATGCTAGAAAATATGTATAAAGCATATTTATTTTCCAAAAAAAAATAAAAATTTCCTTGAAAACCAAACACACCCTTAAATGTAAATTCCCCTTATTTTTATAAGTATTAAAAATTTTATTTATTTGCATGAACGATTCTGACAAACAACCTGCTAGCTACTATAAATTGATCTTTGACAAAATAAAAGTTGTGTTTTCTCATTTGGTCAATTTTACTTGACCAAATTAGTAGCCATGTTTGAATATTGTTAATTAAACAAAAAAGGGATAGAATGTTACCTAGAGAATGGAAAAAGCTCTAATTTAAGACTTTTAGGTAGGAATATTGTTCAAGATAAATAATTGTAATAAGGTCAAAGATCACAGCTATATAATCACATGCATGATTATTAATATAATTATTTGCAATACATTTTTCAAGGAATTAGGGTTGGGAATCCTATGGTCTATTTTTTATGACAAAAATTCAAATATAGTATTCTATGCAATTCACACAATGGAAGGTTATTCCATAACAGGTTGGCAATATTGACTTTGATTTTAAAAGTTTGCATTTTTAATTTATTGTTTAGCGATAAAAGTTATATATAGTGTGTCAGCTTAAGTTTCCTTTCTATGCCCTTCGTCACATTCCTGACTCTGTCGGATTATACTATTTGATCAGTTTCACTCATTTGAATTGCTATTTGATCGATTTCACTCATAAAAGGTGTTAACTATCTGATCAACCAATCTTTTATCTGAACTTTAAATTATGTGTTCATAAATACATTATGGTTCTTACTGATGTATTTGAGTGTTGTATATATAGGAACTATAATACTAGGATTTTAGTTATGTACGTTTATGTCCATTCGGGAATATTCAATGATAAAAAAATAAAAATAAAAAATAAATAAATATATATATATAAGAAATTTATGTCATAGAAGTAATTTAGGACAATACTTTTAATTTAAAAAATCAATTCCAAGAGTTTGAACATTAGACTTTTGGTTAAGGATCGAGGGAATCAAACCATCTCACCCCAATCCATGAATTTTGGTCAAGGGTCAAGGAAAAATCTAACCATCTCACCCCAATTCATGTTGATTGTATAGTGATTTGAACTATGACACCCCAAATCTTGTATTTTCACCTGAATGACATGTTTTGTTATATAAGTAAGAGGTTGGCAAAAGTTTATGTTTAGTCATATATTGTCCATAGATTACAAAAGTTAACATCCCTTTCTTTATAGTTTTCTAGTTCGATTAAGTGGCTTCGTAACCTTAATCTACTTTTTTGCTTACTGTAGCATATATATAGGCCTTCGCCATTCAAACGGCCACTTCGCCCCTCTTTTTTTTTGAATTGGAAAGAGCGGGGTCTTACTTATTCAGGAGGATGAAAGTCAAATAAAAGGATCAGGGAGCTTTATGATCATAGAAAGAGAAGGGGCATGGTTGATGTGTCACTGGGTCGGTGGGGGGAATCCGTAGGAAGGGGGGATGACCCGCCTAATTTACATCAGAAATCGCCAACATGAACAAAAATCTTTTAATGAATTAATTTTTTTTTCTGTGCGTATAGATGTTAGTTATATGTATTTTTAGTACAGTATTATATTGAAAGACCATTAAAAGGTATTATGAGACGCACATCGTTTTAGTTTTTCATTTTAGCAAGTGTGAGAAATTGCATATTGTAGAATATTTTACGGTGCTTAGATTTACTTTTAAAAAGTTAATAATGCTTCAACTATACACTAAAAATAAGTTACATACGTCAAGAGTTTTTTAGAAATAGTCTCTCTATCTTCATAAGGTAAGACTAAGGTTTGTTTCAGCTGTCTCTAGATGTAGAACTTAAAGAACCATACCAGGCTCTTAGAAAAGTCTTCTCATCAACTCTGTATCTTTCGAACCACATGGGGATTTTCAGTCTGGATGCGTACACTTTATCCACTAACAATCGGTTGACGACACAATGAAAACTTTTTTCTTCAAATTGGGGGTAGGGGAAGTAGAAATGGATGAGGGGATTATAAGGTAGGCAATTGAGCCCTCACTAGTAAGATGAAAGTTCAAGTAGCCAACCAACTTAGCTATTAAGATTTTCTTGACACTGTGAAAATTCAGTTTGGGATAACGTTAATTATTATTGTCGAATAATTAAATATAGTATTAAACTTCTTAATAAGAAAAAAAGATTTTCAATTTTCATTTTAGCAGCTCATTTTATGAGTTGGATAAGTGCAAGTGTGGTACTGAAAAATTGGGCCTAAGCCATAGGTACCAAGCCCATGATTATTGGGTCGATTCCATGCCCAAAATACAAAATAATAATTTGCTTAGATTGAAGGGAAATGAAAGAAAAGTAAAGAGCGATTATGTTTAAATCTTTCTAAAATATCAGTATTTTGCGAGTTTCACATCTAAAGTACTAATAAGTGTTTATGTTATCCCTTTGAACTATAACTCAATTTGGATTATAACCCTTGATTGAATGTATATCAAAATGTTTGGGATAACTTGTGAGAGACACGTGAAAGATGAAAAAAGTCATAAAAATGAATCTCACGTGGCACAATCAATTTATGATAGTTCAAGGGATTCAATGAATACCCAATAATTTAGGTATGAAACTCGTAAACAATGATAGTTTGGGAGGGGGAGGGTAACCTACTCACACACAAAAAAATTCACGTGTACTACCACTTTGCAGGAGTTTTTGGAGTTCAATATTCATGTAACATGTATTATTTCTCTGAGGAGTATTTTAATATGAGTTCATGATAATTAATAGTCGAGGGAGGTCCTGTGATCAACAATCAATAGTTTAGGTATGAAGTTAGGGTCATGTGATCACCATCAATTTACTCAAGAACTATTATTCCAAAATTATTTTTTGTTTGAATTTTCACATATTGTTCTTCTATATTTAATTATTCCCAGTTAATTTCATTTTGGCTAGTTACAATTTCCATGTTAAATTTAAAAAGTTAAAATGGCTAGTTACATACATTTAAGGAATAAAAAGTTAAAATAAGCTAAGATTGTGTAAATAAATGGAAAAAAATTGACTCTAATAACAACACACTCAATTAATTAACCAAAACCATCAAATTTCAGAAACTGAAAAGATCAATTTCCGAGTACATACATTTTGGTTTCTTACTAATTTTTACGATGAAAATCAAACAGCAAAAAAAAAAAAAACATCCATTATTTATAAGTAATATTAATTAATTTAGCATTTTTTGGTGCAGAAGCAACGGCGACGGAAACCACGGCAATGACCACCAGTAAAGCCTTCAGTCTGACAAACAGCAGCACAGTTGCTCTGCTTCCTCACGCACGGCCCCTTATACTTGTGACTTGGGGACTCGCAGGTCCATACCTCCGCCAGTTCTGTAAAAATTACATCACCCGTAAATTTGTTATAATAAGTTAAATTATAATAATAATAATAATAATAACATAAAAATTATAGTGTTTATTTTGTTTGTAAACATAAGTTGTTGAATTTTAAAGAGTTTTACCACTTGTGTCTCTTTTGTTAGTTTAACTATTTGATATTTGAAATACAATAGCCTTGTTAATTTAGATTGACGCTGCATAAGGTAAATAGCGTAAAAATTTCTTATTACATATTTTTTTCATTTTCAATATTCTTGCATTACATGGAAGTACTTTAATTTTAAGAATAGATTTGGTATATGTCAAATGTTTTAATTTTTTCTTAATTTCTTTTGTTTAATGAAAAATTTTGTTCATCGCTAATTTCTTATTATTATTTTTTTACTAATGAAATATGCTTATAATTCTCATCCAAAATTTCTTTTACATCTTTTTTGAAATTATCACACATGATCTTTCTTTAAAATTCTAAATTCTAGTTACCAAAACAAGCGTGTATATATATATATATATATATTTCTTTTACATCTTTTTTGAAATTATCACACATGATCTTTCTTTAAAATTCTAAATTCTACCAAAACAAGCATATATATATAATAAAGGAAATAAAATTAATTTCACTGCATAACCTAAAACATAAGAAAAAATCAAATTATTATGTAAGTAAAAGAAAAATACCAATAGCAAAAACCAGCACTAGCACAAGAAAAAAAGCTGCCAACAATTTCTTAAAGTCAGCCATACTCTTTTCTTTCTGTGTGAAAAACAATAAAGATCAATATTATTTGTGGAAATTAATTAAGAGTGATGAACCATCAATATAAACAAGTCTATATATATATAGTATGGGCAGTGGGCTAAATGGTATAGTATTATTTAAACTGTGGGTGGTGGGTTGGCTTACTTTGAATGATCTAGAATAAAGTTAACAATACACACACAGGGGCGGCTCTGAAGGCTTGGCCAGTGAGGCCATTGCCTTAGGCCTCAAAAATTTGAAGGCCCCAAATTTATTTAAATTATTGTTATTGATTTTATTATATATTAATATAATTTATATAAATAAAATTGTTATTGTATATTTTTTATTATAATTTGTTTGAGAGTATTTTTTATCAATAAGTTCATAAATTCTCATAATCTTTTCACTCATTATTTGATATATTTGTTTTAACTTCCAATTTTAAATTTTATCATTTTTATATAGGAGCTAAGTTATATATATTGATAACATAATGAATTTTTTTCAACCTTTTCTTAAACTGCGTGAACACAAAAACATTCATGCACAAGTTTCCTATTCGTTTTAATTTAATATATTATATGAAAATTTTATAATTTGTTTTAGCTATTCACCAATGAATGCTACTCAATGGAATGAATTATATCATTTAAATTGATCACATATTTGATAAGAAGGTGTATATCTTTTTGTTACTATCCATGTTCAAAACTTCAACTATTAAGTTATATATGTTCTTTTCTTTTTCTTATTTGTGATGATAGCCAAATTAAAGTTTAAATTTGAATTTTGAAGCTTAACATCGATAATCCATCACTTTATTTTTTGTACTCTTCTTCCTTTTCTTTTTGTGTGTGAAAATTGTTATTTTTGTCTTAAATGATTAATCTATTGTGTAGAAAATAATTTTTTTTTGTTAGTGTATAAACTTTATAAAATAAATTTAAGGGCCTCTTAATATGATTTTGCCTTAGGCCACGAGATCTGTTGAGCCGCCCCTGTTAACACACACACACACAAACACACACACACACACACACACACACACATATATATATATATATTATTGTACTATTGAAGTAATTTTAAGTAATTTTTTGATAATTATGATGTTCATATCAGTTTATACACATATTTAGTCTAATTTTATATATGTGATATATATATATATATATGTTATCTTCTGCTAACACATATATAAGATAACTATGTCCACGTCTAAGTCTTAAGCATATATAAAAAATTACCTAGCATTATTTTGGCTAATTGAAAATTTAATTTAAATTTTATCGTTCTTATTTCACTTCATTAACAGTAGCCGACGCCCTTGAATGCAAGTAAATCCCGAAGATGATTTCGTTAATTAGTAATGAGTTTAAGTTATATTATGATACCGTCACAACGCCACTATATATACGATATTTTTATACTATGAGGTTGTAAGGCTTATTATTACAAATACTTTCTCTTAATTTCGAGATTACAAATTTTATATTTTAAGAAGGCTTACATGTAGATATCTTTTAAACTACTCGTTTATATAATATAGAAAAACATTTACCCTGAGAGTTTATATAATTTATGCTCATTTGTAAAATGATAAAAATAAAATAAAAAAGTGATAAGTAATAAGCTATTACAAATTAAAATTAACCAATAATATAAAATTATTTTTGCTACCAACATATATACCTTAAATTAATCCTTATAAAGGTTAAAGAAGAATATGTACACCTACTATATTGAATTATGACAGCTCAATATGCACTAATTCTTGCTTTTTAAAAATCTTTTGGGATTGAATATATTTTCCTATTTTAGCAAAATCTTCCTTTATCCCCACCAAAAATAATAAAATAAATAAAAGAAAGATATAATGAGCCAAAAAGGAAAAATATAAAAGTGTTTTATTCACTTTAGAGGCCTAAAAAAGGTGTGTGATCGGATCTACATTCTATCTAAGCTTTTATAAAGTGTAAAATAATTAATCTCGTTTGGCCATCAATTATTTTTTTGGAATATTTTTAATTTATTTAGAAATTAATATTTGTTCATAATAATTAAGTTATATTTAACTATATTTAAGTATGAAGATTATTTCAAATATTCTTTGCAAAAAGTATAATCAGGCATAATTTTATCTTTACTTTCAACTTTATTTCCTTAAATTCCGAACGTTTCAAAGCTAGCTCATGCTTTTAATAAGAGTTTGTTGTTAGTGACTACATGACAGTTTGTTCTGTAGATAACCTAGCCAATTTTTTATTTTATTTATATAATATTTATTTTATGAATCAAATTTCACTTTTCTTACTATAAGGCAAATGATTTGAAGAAATTCAATTATCGCGATTAATATGTTTTTCTTTTCTTCTAGATGGTTTTTGCTTTTGGTTCTCAAAATACATGATACAATTTTTCAAATTGTTATTTCACACTTTTGATTTTTGTACATTATTATATTTTATTATATGGTGAAGAAAGCACTAATATTTTTTATTATATTTTATGATTAAAAATTTGATTAGAAATATCGTTTGCAAGAAGAGTTGAGTACCTTCTTTTAGTTAATCAAAGATGGTATAATCATGTTTATGAACTTTAATAAAATTTATAATTACATGACTTAACATAATATAATCTCTAAAATTTCCTACTATTTGGATTAATTACCAAAAAAAATAATCCCTTTTTTCTTCTCTCTCTTAATATTTGGATACATCACTCCACCTATACATTACAATTTTATTTGTGTACAGTGTATCTGGTATAACTGTTATTGTTGATACATAACCCCAATTATTTCAAACCTAATTCAATATGAATTTGGTTTGTAGTTATGTATCTGATGCATAACTTATGTATCGTTTGCTATGTATCGGGTGAAGGAGATACATAAACCCAATTATTTTTTGTTTGAATTTTCACATATTGTTCTTCTATATTTAATTATTCCCAGTTAATTTCATTTTGGCTAGTTACAATTTCCATGTTAAATTTAAAAAGTTAAAATGGCTAGTTACATACATTTAAGGAATAAAAAGTTAAAATAAGCTAAGATTGTGTAAATAAATGGAAAAAAATTGACTCTAATAACAACACACTCTATTAATTAACCAAAACCATCAAATTTCAGAAACTGAAAAGATCAATTTCCGAGTACATACATTTTGATTTCTTACTTATTATTACGATGAAAATCAAACAGCAAAAAAAAAAAAAAAACATCCATTATTTATATTTTATTTTAAAAAAACACTCAAATAAGATGTCAATTAATTCGCGAAATAATATTAATTAATTTAGCAGTGTTTAGTGCAGAAGCAACGGCGACGGACACCACGACAGTGACCACCAGTAAAGCCTTCAGTCTGACAAACATTAGCACAATTGCTCTTCCTCACGCACGGCCCCTTATACTTGTGACTTTGGGACTCGCAAGTCCTTCCCTCAGCCAGTTCTGTAAAAGTTACGTCAAACGTAAATTTGTTATAATAAGTTAAATTATAATAATATAAAAGTTGTAGTATTTATTTTGTTAGTATACATAAGTTGTTGAATTTTAAAGAGTTTTACCACTTGTGATCTTTTGTTAGTTTAACTATTTGACATTTGAAATACAACTGCCTTATTAATTTAGATTGACGCTGCATAAGGTTAATAGCGTAAAAATTCCTTATTACATATTTTTTTTTTCATTTTCAATATTCTTGCATTATAAGGAAGTAAAGAATACATTTGATATATATATATATATATATATGTCAAATGTTTTAATTTTTTCTCAATTTTTTTTTATTTAATGAAAAGTTTTGTTCGTCGCTAATTTCTGATTTTTTTTACTAATGAAATATGCATATAATTCTCATCCAAAATTTCTTTTTTGAAATTATCACACATGATCTTTCTTTAAAATTCTAGAATCCATCAAAACAAGCAAAAAAAATAAATAAATAAATATATATATATATATATATATAACCTAGGTAATTGTAACATAAGAAAAATCAAATGTAAGTAAAAGAAAAATACCAGTAGCAAAAACCAGCATTAGCACAAGAAAAAAAGTTGCCAACAATTTCTTAAACCCCGACATATTTTTTTCTTTTTATGTGAAAAATAATAAAGATTACTATTATTTGTAGAAATTAATTAAGAGTGATGAAACCATCAATAAAAACAAGTCTTTATATAGTAGTAGTCTTATGTATGGGCAGTGGGCTAAATAGTATAGTATTATTTAAACTGTGGGTGGTGGGTTGGCTTACTTTGAATGATCTAGAATAAAGTTAAGAATGTACACAATATATATATATATATATATATATATATATATATATATTACTATACTATTTAAGTAATTTTTCGATAATTATGATATTCAGGTCAGTTATACGCATATTTAGTCTAATTTTATATATGTAATAGATGTTATCTTCTGCTAACACATATGTAAGATAACTATGTCCACGTCTAAGGCTTAAGCTGCATATATAAAAAATTACCTAGCATTATTTTGGCAAGCTGGAAATTTAATTTAAATTTTATTGTTCTTATTTCACTTCATTAACACTAGCCCATACCCTTGAATGCTAGTAAATCTCGAAGATGATTTCGTTAATTAGTAATGAGTTTAAGTTATATTATGGTACCGTCACAGCGTCACTATATGTAAGAGATTTTTATACTATGAGGCTGTCTTTGCTTATTATTACAAATACTTTCTCTTAATTTCGAGATTACAAATTTTATATTTTAAGTAGGTTAACATGTATATATCTTTTAAACTACTCGTTTTTATAATATAGAAAAACATTTACCCTGGGAGTGTATATAATTTAAGCTCATTTGTAAAATGATAAAAAAAAAAAAAAAAAAGTGATAAGTAATAATAACAATAATATGCTATCACAAGTTAAAAGTTACAAATAATATAAAATATTTTTATCACCAACATATATACCTTAGATTAATCCTTATAAAGGTTAAAGAATAATATGTACACCTACTATATTGAATTATGACAACTCAATATGCACTAATTCTTGCTCTTATAGGTTATTAAAAATCTTTTGGGATTGAATATATTTCCCATTTTAGCAAAATCTTCCTTTAACCCTACCAAAAATAATAAAATAAATAAAAGAAAGATATAAAAAGCTAAAAAGGAAAAACATAAACGTGTGAATATTCACTTTAGAGGACTAAAAAGGTGTGTGATCGGATCTACATTCTATCTAGCTTTTTAAAAGTGAAATAATTAATCTCGTTTGGCCATCAATTATTTTTTTGGAATATTTTTAATTTATTTAGAAATTAATATTTGTTCATAATAATTAAGTTATATTTAATTATATACAAGTATGAAGATTATTTCAAATATTCTTTGCAAAAAGTATAATCAGGCATAACTCTATCTTTACTTTCAACTTTATTTCCTTAAATTCCAAACGTTTCAAAGCTAGCTCAGGCTTTTAATAAGAGTTTGTTGTTAGTGACTACATATCAGTTTGTTCGAGAAAATGACATAAATAGTCCCTTAACTATAGGAATAGGTCTAAAATGGTCCCTTAATTATACACTTAACGGATTTAGTCCTTTAACTATTCAATCAGTTTTAGTCCCTTAACTATACACTTACCGATTTTAGTCCCTTAACTATAAACTTATCGATTTTAGTCCTTTAAGTATTCAAAAACTTATCAGGTTTGTTCTTTGTCCATTTTTTTTTAATACAAATAGCTTAGATTTATATTAATGGAATCCATGCCTCAAGAAAAAAATGAAAGTCGAATTGTATAAATTATTAAATGCACACAAAATATACAAACAAAAGTATTTATAGCAAAACAATGAAGCGTAATTAGGTAAACACTGTAACTATGAAGGCTAATTAAATTTTATCTCTTAGCTATTTACAAAAAAAATCGTTATACTTAATAGAATTGGGCGTGTGAGACTCAATTTATTTTTTGACACATGGACAAGTGGGCCATTTATGTACTTTTCTGCTTTAAAACAAGAACTTTCTACAACTAACAAGAGAGAGAAAATATATTTACACATAAATTGTGTTGAACAAATATAAAAAAGGGAAAATGGTATGAAATAGCAAACTATTAATTCAAATTAAATGTTATAGCCACAGTTTATTTTAATTGTAATTCGCAGCAAACATCCCCTTTTTTTGCCATCTAATTCGATATACAATTAGCCATTTTATACATTTCGGTATAAACTGTATAAAATGCGTTTGTGTTTGTACAAAGCGAGAGAAAAGTTTATATACCAATACAAATACATATATTTTTATCCTATACACTTATAATTATACAAATACAGATCTTATTATACAAATTACAATGTATAAATGAGTTTATACAAAATTGAACAATTTGTATAAAATTGGATGTTTATAGCTAATTATACAAATCAAAAGCTCCATAACAAACATAAAATTTGCTATGGAGCGCAATTATGCAAACTATAGCTCTAACATACAAATATAATTTTTATGTTTGTTATATGTGAAAGTTGCTCTATAAAAATGCAAGAAAAATTATGTGTGTTTGCTACTTTTTTTAATCATTATTAATATTATATTAATTTGTGGGATTATACCGGATATTATTGTTGTTATAGTTGTATGTTAGTTTGACAAATTTATTTTGATATGATATTTTTTTTGTGTATTCATGTTGTGTTTTTTTTAAAAAAAAAAATCTTTCATAATTATTGTGATTTTAAAATGTAGTCATTTAAGCTTATATTAAGGTTAATAAACTAAAATAAAAATCTATAAATACATATGTAAACAAATATTATATATATTTTTAAAAAGATGTTACATAGATGGAAGACAAAAAATGATAAGGGTAAAATAAACTTTCATATGAAAAAGGGAGGAGAATGATTATTTTTAAAAATTGAGAAAGAAATTTGATTTTTAAACCAAAGTTAAGGGTGCAAATGATTGTCATTTAAAAAAATAAATACAAAAAAAATTCGAAGAAATTTGATATATGAAAAACTAATAGCATACAAAAGTTTATTATATCCCATTCTTGTTTCCATGTTACAATTTGTTTCTGACTATGTCATCCTAGAACTTTCCTTTAGTCAAGTGCCCTTATTGATTATTGTTTTAATTTTCTTTTTCCATTTTTTTAACTATTAGAATAATTAATTCTAGACCAATATGTTATAAGAAAAACTAAATTAAGATTAAAAGCTAAACTAAAAAGAAATAAATGATATTTATTTATTTTTGAAAAAATAAAAACAAAACTTATATCTAAGATATGATTTCGATACTAATTCTACAACTAACATTAACTTGCAAAGTAGATAATGACTGGAATTTTTTTTCAATAGTGATTTCTTCACGTCCTCCTCCAATCAACACTCGAATAAACTTGTATCGCATGATTATCACTTTTAGTCCGAACTTAAATCTGTAAATTATAATTCTTGGACTTCAATATGTAAAACCTGTTTCCTGAAATACAATTGAAAATAAATTAGAAATGTGAGATAATTTGAGTTGAAATTAGAGGATAAAAGGAACGAGAGATATAAAAAGTGATAAAGTTTTTGTCAAAGAGAGTTAACCATTTTTCTTTTCTCTTCCTTTTTATAGTTGGTAAACACGGCATAATTGAGTTTTATCTTTTACTCACATTTATTTGTTTAATTCAACTAAAAAATTAATTTATTAGGTTAGATAAGTTGGATAGAAGGGTTATATTGGAAGAAATTAGAATAAAATTATATACACGCATTAGGTATCACTTAAGATGCTAAATATGAGAATAAAATTAAGGATAAATATATCAATAAAATTGAATGGAGAGTACAAATATATCAAAAAAATATGGCAACCCATAAATTTGGAATGCATAATTGTAACTTTTCTTAGACCAGAAGTTATAGGCCTTGATACAATTGAGTAAAAAGTATTTAACGTATAGATAACATGATTGAGTGTCAACAATTCTTTGAGAGATTGAATTACTTACAACATTTTTAAGTAAACCTAGAATTATACTCAAATCACAACTTTTCACCAAACTTTTTCCTATTATTGACCTAGGAATTGAGGTCTTAACAACAATACGTCCTTGTTTTTTTATTCTTCTTTTTCTTGTTGGTTTTTTCTTTTGGTTCTCACATTATTAGAAACGAAAGGTTTCTCCCATCGTAAATTAATAGAAAATTTGTGTAATATAAAACATAATTTTCCTATTCATTTTTCATTTAACCAACTTATTAGAAAAATGCATAGTGAGAAATAGATTCTTATTAAAATAGTGAAAAACTTTTCAATTTTTTCATGTGAAAACATTATTCTCTTTTCCTTTGTTACAGATTCAATTAAAATATTTGTGGGAATAGGCATTAAATGTTTTTTAGTAGAAAAATAATGTTTTTTTGATAGTGTGAAATTAAAACATATCATGAAATCTTCCAATAATATATTACTACTAGGATAGTGGATTTAATTTAAATATTATTAAAGTCGTAGGGCATCTTGACCCAATAATTCAAGAAGCGAAATAATGTACTATGAAAAAAAACCTATGCATTCCTACTTGGAAATTGAATCTTCTCAACGTTTTCATTCAGTGTTCAGAATTATAAAAATTGAATAGATTTTCCCATTTTAGCAAAATCTTTCTTTATCCCCACCAAAAATAATAAAATAAATAAAAGAAAGACATAAAGAGCTAAAACAGAAAAAAACATGAACGTGTGAATATTCACTTTTAGAGGCAAACTTTTTTTCTGATTTCTTGTAAAGCTGTGTGATTGAATCGGCATTTCAAAGAGTGAAATAATTAATTGTACGTTTTGGAAATAAAAAAAATGTGTTTTTTTTTTTCGAAAAAAAAGAAGTTAAAAACGATATTAGAAATTAGAGTTGTGTTTGGACATAATTACAATTTGAAAAAAATGTTACTTTGCTTAAAGGGTGTGAAACACCTCAAAAATAATTTTCCTATGGCTATTCTATTGTGATTGCTTACTTTTTTTTTTTTCTTCTCATCTGTTGTTCAATACTTGTATTGGAGTTCTATTATATCGGATTCTCATCGG